AGAGGTTGAGTAAGAATGTGATAGTGTGCTTTTAAATGATGTTCACCTTGTACAAGGCCCAAGAGTCATCAGGTAAGAATAAGAGTAAGAGAATCAGTGTATGCGGGTTATGGGAGGAAGATAACGGTTAATCATAGACTTGAACAGGTTAATATTAGGAGTCGGTTCTAGAAAGCAATTATTATCGAGATAATTTTTTTAACTCAACAAAAACCTGCGCAATTCACTGAAATTTTCTTACTGATCTGCGCAATGTAAACAAACTGGCGCCATATTTGTTATCAGCACGATGATTTGAGCGTGCCAAATTATTAGAAAGGTTTAGTAAAATTCCCAGAATTTAGCAAACAAAGCGTTTATTAATGTTGTACGTGAATGTTTATGATCAAAAGAAGCTAATAAATCAGATAATCAAACAAAGAATGACAGATACAAACAAAGGCACAGTTTTAAACAAATTAATAGGGAATGTGCTTTTCCTGTTTTGAAATTACTTGAAGAAGTCGACGATCCATAGAATTTGTTATTTGTAGGATGTCATCTGCTGTAATGCCGCGAGATATGTCAAGAATTGCTTCCCACAACTCAGCGTTGCTCCTGAATTGTCGTCCGATGGCGTACAGTCTTTGCTTCATGATGCTCCAAAGGTTTTCGATTGGGTTCAAATCCGGAGAATTTGCTCGCCACTTCATTTTACAAGGTCCATCGAAGCCTAACTGTTTCAAATATTCAGTAGTCTTGTGAGCAGCATGTAAGGGAGCATTATCTTGCATAAAATCAATGGCCCTTCTGAAGGAAACTCTTTGCCTTTTCATCCACGGTTCAAGATGCTCCTTCATAAACGCTATGTATGCATCAGCAGTCATTTTGACGCTATCTGGTACTCTCCATGGTCCTTCTAATGTTTTTCCAATAATACCACCCCAGATCATTATGCCTCCACCGCCTTGTTGCTGATGGCGATTCTGTCCATTCATTACCCAGCCTTTGCACCATCTATCTGGCCCATCAAGTGTTGCTCGAATTTCGTCTGTGAACAAACTTTAGAAAAGTCAATTTTCATATTGTCCTCGGCCCATCTCAATCGATTTTGAATGTGATTTCTCGTCAACGGAGGCTTGGATACAGGTTTGACTGTTGTTGCTATTTCCCTCCAGATACCGACACCGAGTACTTTTAGACACAGTAGGATCCCCAATGCGACTGAAAAGCTCTTGACTGGTGAGTCCAGGATTCTTCGTGACCTCTCGTTTAAGTCGTGACATGAGACGACGTGAAATAACCCACGGCTTGCATTTATCTGCCCTTTTGCGTACTTGTGTAGCATCGGCGGTGAACTTTTCCACTGTTTGATGACACCTCCCTATCATTTTAGAAATTTCTAGGGTAGTTTTACCTTTTGAGAGTTCTGAGGTGATAGTTTTCTTTTCCGCATCACTTAAACTGCTTTTACGGCCCATCTCTTCACTAAATCCGTACACTTTTCTAATAATTTGGCACGCTCAAATCACCGTGCTGATAACAAATATGGCGCCAGTTTGTTTACATTGCGCAGATCAGTACGTAAATTTCAGTGATTGCACTGGTCCGTGTTGCCAACATTGTGTGAAAATTTTGTGTGAATTGATTGGACGCTTTTTGAAATATTAGAAAAAAAGTTATCTCGATAATAATTTGGCACGCAGTGTATATATATATTATAAATATATATATATATATATATATATATATATATATATATATATTTTTACCAATGAATGATCTGTCTTTTTGTTTAATGAACTGATAGCAGTATTTAGATTAATTAAAGAATGATATTTGATAATATTCGACAATTTTAATAGTTTAAAAAAACCTTGCTCGGTCACTTACGATGAATATATTCGATTTAGATAAAACGATTGAAATTTGAACTACGCTTAAAAATCATTATTTATTGACAAGTCTTTAATCATGGTTATATTTACAAATTGATCTGCACTAGAACAGTTACGAATTTTACTAAATGTCAACCTGATTTTTTCGGCCATTCCAATATCTATTTATGTTTAGATAAATAACTAAATAACTTTAATGGTACAATGGTTAGCAAACTTTTTCAATTTTAAATCATTACGAACTGAATTCAAATTCCTTTTTTTATTTGACTTATAGTGCCCCTTTTCTTTTGAAATGGAATGCCAATTTAAAACCTGTGAGTAAAAATCCCCAAACTGAAAGAAAAACTTTTTTCAAATCTTTAAATGGATTCATATGTAAAAAATTCAGTTGAGGTTCAATATTCAAATGTAGATTTTGTCAAAATTTAACTCAAAAAACATCCAAAATTGGGATTGGTCGTTATTTAAATAAATTTTTATATTGCAAAAAAATTTTTGAAATTGTAATACATTGAATTGTAATTTGTATTTTTAATACCACGGATTTTAGAAAAATTATAGATTATAGGACAAAAAATAAATGACATTTTCTTTTAAGAAAATTAATTAATATAAATTATATATCGCTGAAATTCAAACAGATTAGTCTTATTTGATCATTGGACATTTATTTATAAGGGAAAAGTCAAGAATTCCAACATCATTTGTTGATTTGTGTGAATTTACTTCAAATAACCACCTGGTTGCAATTTTTTAAAGATATATTAATTCTAAATAAATCAAAACAACGCTAAACTGTCCACTGGACTTGAGCCTAAACATTTTTTTAATAAATTAATTTTCTTACTGAATGGATTAGTCCCAATGATTTTATATGACATTCATTAACGAAAAAAAATGGAGCCAGCAGAAGATTTTAAATGGAAGATGTCAAATGATAAGATAGAAAGGCTTATATGTTTATCTACTGCTTGAAAGAAATTAGAACCTTTTCATTTTCAAGAAAAAATATGTTTGTTAGTTCATATATGTTTCTACAGGATATTAATAATTAATGTTGGTGCAGATAAATTTTATTTTTCTATTATAGAATCCAAAATTCCTGTATTTTACCCATAAATTATTGAGAAGAGGATTTTTCTTTTTTTTCTTTAAAATCAGTTAAATTAATGGATTGATTGGATGTGAACTTTTGTGTTTTACATTTCAAATACTATTATGTAGTAAAATTTTTTCTTCAAGATCATATATATATATATATATATATATATAGAAATAAGAGAGAGAGAGTAGGATATATATAAGAGGTTTTCACATAAACGAAGATTATATGTTGAAAAATATTTTTCAATATATATATTACCGATTAACATAAATTTATTCTATTGACATGTGTTTTTTTGAAAATGCTGAAAAACTACATTTATATATAATATTTTTTCATTTTTAAATGTCCAATTTTATTTTTACATAAATATAACCGTTTCTCCAGTATTGATTAAACTTAGAATCTATGAATATAGTCTGAATTAAAAACCATATAAGATTGTTTTTTAATAAAATTTCAATACTTTATATATATATATATATATTTTATATATTAATATTCCTATTATTTAACATTTATACGTATTTTTTTTTTAATTTAAAAGAATATAATAATAAATAAAAAAATATAAACGTTTTTATATTATTCCCAATATATATATATATATATATATATATATATATATATATTTAAATATATATCCAGTGGACTGTGTGTGTGTGTTTACATTCATTTCGTTTATTATATATATTGAAAATTGTCAGAGCTGACAATATTCAAAAAAAAAATGCCTTACAAAAATTTACGTTCTAACATTAAAGTTAATCCTCTTTTAAGGTATATTTTTTCTTCACTTGTTTCCCAGCTATAGATAAATAATATAGAACATAGCTAAACATTGTTTTATAATCTATCACTTTTTTGATTAATAGCCTGCAAAAAGAAATGGCAACCTACTAATTAAAAAAAAATTATATCGTCATTCATGTTTCATTTTGATACATGATCGGCAAAAATAAATCCCTTGAAAAACTGAATGAATTCCAATGCCATAAAAAAAAAAAAAAACATAACCCTTTAAGGATTTTATTCTAAATATATTTCTAACAAATTAAAAACTATCAACACTTGATTAAAAATATTGCATCACATAAATATCACCATCTTTCTACAGATCCATTATTCCTGAATCAGTAAAGATTTGTCTATTTAAAACCTATAAAAATATGTAAAATTTGTTTGCCTTCCTTTTAAAAAGACTATGAAAATCAAATTTATTGATAAACTTATAAAAAAGAAAATTATTACATTATCTTGCTTATATATAAAAAATATGTTTTTATTTTTTGACTAATGGGTTTTAAATTTTTATAAAATTTTAATTTTTTTAAATTTTTAGAAAGAAAACATAAAATTAAAAAAAAAGTTAAAAATTAACAGTTTTTATATTTCTTGACAAATAAGAATTTCCAGAAAAACACACACACACACACACACACACACATAACATAATACACATTTTAACTCAAATTTTGTAAGAAAATTTTGAATTAAAAGACGAAAATCTTAAAAATTAAACATAACAAACACATTAAAATTTACTTTTCTGACATATACACTTTTAACATTTGTTTAAAAAAAAATAGTCCATTAATAAATTAAGTTTAAAAAATATTTAAATTTAAAATGTTATAGCGTTTTATACCATATAAGAAATGTACTGAAAAATGAGAATATACAAATTTAAATTTATTCATAGATTTTTCAATACAAATTATTTCTGTGTATATATGTTTATATGTATTTATTTATGAATAAAAGTTTAATAGACTAAATTAACTCTGATTGAAAAAAGTGCAGATTTTATAATAAAATTTTAAGAAGAAAATTAAATTTAAACTATATAATAACATAGATTGGAACGGGTTTGACTAAATGATATAAATGGGATAATTGCATTTTAACTGAAATAAAAACAAAATTTCATGCTTCCTTGGAATTGATTTTCTTAGTCGATGACCTTTTTTTTTTTCAATTTTAAAATAAACAATGAACCGCCACCATTGTTGTTT